TAAATGTCTGTGAATGTGTTAGTGGTCTGGCTGACTGGTTGATCGGTTGGTTGGTCGGTTGACTTGATTTCAGAGTTTTTCATTTTTTTTCCGTTGTCGATGGTGATCAATGATGGCTTCCATGTTTTCCAGATAGATTCGTTCTCAAGCTATTCTATAGTTTTTTTTCTCTCTTACTCTCATTCTCTTTTTATTTTGTTTCTCTATAGAGAACATTTGGGAACACATGAAATGAAAACTTTATATATTGCATTTGCTTCTTCTTGTTCATCTTACTCTTCACTCTATGATGATTGGGATGTTTCAAAATAATAATCATTGATTCGATGATTTCGAAAGAAGAAAGATGATGATGCTGATGATGAATAAAGAGATCCACTTTCATTCGAATCAAGTCAAAAAAAAAAATGAAAATTAAACATTCATGAAAAAATATATTTAAATTAATTATCCAGTACATGAAGACAAATCAAGCGTGTATAGGAAGATTATGATGATGTTCGGAAATTCGATTCCTAAACTCACCAGAAAAAGAAGAAGAAGAAGATTTGAATTCATAATGAAATCTGAAAAAAAATTTTAATTATAATCTAATGAAAAGAAACCACACACAAAAAAAATCAAAAGAATTACAACATTCAAGATTATCATCCCATTTTTTACATTCATTGTTGAATTATTATTACATAAAATAAACTCAGGTTACCCACTTTTTTTTCATATATTTCGCAATACATTTATCAGGTATTCAAATTTCATTTTATGAATTTCAAATTTTCTAACTAAAATGTTTTGAACATCTTTTCAAAATTGAAATCCTTTTTTTTCATTTTGTTAATACCAACAACAACAACAACAACCGAAAGTTGAGCCGACATTTTTTTCTTTTCTAGAATTTTCAAATCAAAATTTTTTTTGAAAAAACTACAAATAGTGAAAGAAAGAATATTCTCAATTATTATTAATAATCATATACAAATATTTTTGTTTTGGAATCCATCAGTATCATTTTTTTTCATTCTTTTGAAACTTTATCATTTCTCAAATCATCATCATCATCATCATTTAGTTGATGATGATGATGTTGTTGAAATCATTTTTATCCAACCAACCATCATCAATGATTCAAAATGCTTTTTTCCCATCCATCTAATGATGAGAATTGAAACGATATTATCGATATAGCGCCCATCATAATCATTTCATACATAAATATATCATTATATCATTGCCATAATAATGTTGTTGTTGATGATGATGATGCGAAAAAAATGAAAGATGAATACAATTTGAGTATATAAAAAAAAGAAAAAATGGAAAGATTAAAGGTGTAAGTCATATTGAAGGTATAGTGGGGAATTTTTTCTCGAGATAAAATGTTCGAGACCGAAAAAAAATCTAGAACATTAACATCATCATGATGAACAGTAAACCAAAAAAAAAAAAATGGTTAAAAATAAATTTTTTTTTTGTTTCTTCTTGGAGACACTACCACCATTTCGTTGGCTGTCAACTGGACAAACATATATTATGGACAACTTTTCCGTTAATGAAATTGGTGGATGTGTGTGTGTGTGTGATGGGGAAATATACCTGACCGGCCATTATGAATGTGACGATTCATGATGATGATGAATCGTTTTGTTTTGTTTTTGTATTCATTAATATATTTTTTCTTGTTTTGCACAAATTGACATTTTCTTTTTTGGTTTTCTTTTAGTTACAAATGATAGATATTTGCTTTGGAAAAAATGGAACATGTTTTTTTCTTATTATTCATGAATTCATGTGATGATTTTTCTTTTCTTTTTTTGATGAATAATTTGTCATGTATGTCTGGGGTGTGTGTATATATACTCATCAATTAAAAATGTCTTCAATATTAATGATGGATATTCCAAATAAACACTAATTTTAGAAATGAATGAATATTTCATCAAAATCATCGAATAAAAATCGATTAATAATAATCAAAAAATAATCAAACTAAAACAAATAATAAATTCATTAATTTCGAAGTAAAAGAAAAAAAATGCTTTACTTTTTTTCAGGTCTAAAATCTCTTGAAAGAATTTCTAAAGTATTTTTTTTTCTCCTCTTCTTTCATTTATCGATACGAAAATAGCTTCAAAAAAAAGAAAAAGAAAATTCATTCGTCATTTTCGTGATCAAGTTCATTAAAAAATCATTTTTGGAAAAACATTTTCACTATCACCGGAAGACGACATTGTTTTTCATTTAGGAATAAAAAATATGAAGAAGAAGAAGAAGAAGAAAATACTCATCGAAATTTTCGGATAATAATCGATCGAAAATTTTTTCCTAACTCTATGTTCCAGGAAAAAGCAATCGAAATACAATAGAATTACTATCAAATGATGATGATGATTTTGCTACAAAATACATTAAATTTGAATGGGGGCTATAAAACAATCATCGATTCTATCAACAAAAAAATAGTTTTCTTCATCTTATTCTTTTTTTCTAGTCCTTAAATCGAAAAAAAATCGGATTGAGTATACATAATTGACAGAAAGCATTAGATTTGAGTAAATCAATTTTTCCTGTTGAATTGTTAAGATGAAGAAAGTATTGGAAAATTGTCACATTGTCGAATTGGATTGAATTATATATTTTGTACTGTTTTTTTTGTATTTCCCATCTTCATCCAAATAAACGTAACGATTTTTTTGGATCGAAAAACCAGAAAAAAATCCCAAATAATGACAATATCTTCGTCAAAAAAAACATTTATTATTATTTAATACTTATTATATTCAATTATTACATTTTTTTCATGACTAATCAATCTATAAATCAATTCACTTATCATAAGGAATATGAAAAAAATAATGTCCATTTTGTTTCTTGTAACATTTTGTTATCGTGTGTGCATTGATGATGATTTTTGGGTGATTGAAAACATTTAATGTGTGTGCTTGTGTCGAAAGCTAAAAATTGTTTCATTTTGATTTGATTGAATTTGATTTGAAAATAGCATCTCTCTAACAATGATGTGTCATAATTGAAATAATGTTACGCAACAAAACAAAAAAAAAAACACCATTTATAAAGATGATGGATTTATGATTGGATTATGTGAATTTTTTTTTGTTGTTGTTTTCAAATAATCAATGTTTTTACTTTACAGCTAATCGATAATTTACTTTTATGTTTTCTATCAAATCATGAAGCTTATAAACGTGTTTTATATAATCGATATTTTTTCTAGTTTAGTTGCTGATCAAAATAATCCCTTGTTTCTTGTAACAAGCAAAATAATAATTTGAAAAAGACAAAATTTTCTCACTGAGGAAAAAAATCAATCAGATTCAAATTTTTTTTGGTGATGAATTTATTTATTTTGAAAAAAAATTTTCATATAAATTCTAAACCAAAGTTGTTGTGTATTCGAAATGACCTTTCAACATCAGAATTTTTCTTTTTCACTTTTTATGATTGCGTGATTTATTCGTTTATTCCATAAGTTTAGTCAATTTGTTCATACATTTTTTTTCTGGTTCTGTATAGAATTTTTTATTGTAACATTTTTTTAATGTCATTGCTTTAGCATTTTTGTATTTAAAAAAAATAACAGGTTCGAATAGAATTCTAGTCACGATTACAGCGATTATTCGTTGGTTTTTTTTCTATTTTGTGGTCATGGATCTGATCTGTTTAGATCTGATCTGGGTGGTGGTGGTGGTGATGATGGAGATGATGATGGCTTACCAAATATTATGTATGTTGATGATTCAGAAATATAATTGAGTCGAAATGTTTTTTTTCTTCTTTCATTTTGCTAGTTGCTTGCTATAATTTAATGACAAAAAATGGAGAAAAAAAAATTCGATACATTAAACAAACTGACACTGCAGTGTAGATATTCTGATAAATCTTTTTTTTTGGATTATCTTCATTCAATTTGCCAGGTCATATGAATCGACATGATATGGATATGACATTTTTAATCTTTATACATTGATAGTAAAGGTTATTTTATTGAATATGATTAGAATATTTTTTCTTTTGTCAATTTGTTTTTAATTGCATACCACAAGCAATACAGCCCAACCAATTTGATGATTCTTTTGGTTATTTTCAACAAATTTACACATAGAATTAGAATATAGAAAAAAATTTTCGAAGTTTTAGTAGTGTGTAAATTGTGTGTGTCATCAATTAATCATTAAATATATAAATGGGATGGTCATTCATCGAACCGGTGTTATGTGTTCCAAAAAAAAGAAAAATATAACAAAAAAAAAGTGCCCGCACAAAGCTTTGCGTGTCAAATTCAACACAAACTGAAATCTCATAGTCATGCATAAATGATAGTTGATAGATCAAAAAGGCGCCAAACAAACAAACAAACAAACAATCAAAGGACAGAAGAAAAAAAATTATGACCCGATTTTTTTTCTGTTCCTAATATTCCATCCATCGAAAATTTTGATCTAGTTGATCGTTTATTTTTTGTGGATAATATTTTTTTTTTCATATAAAAAAACAACAACAACAATGTATTTATCACGGCCGTTTGTTTGGTTAGTCTTTATTTCATTTTTTTTGTTGTTGTTCTGGTTTCTCATCATCATTATGGAAAATAATAATAATAATATCTTCTTCCCATACTCACACACACACATCCTTTCGTAACAATTTTTTTTTTCACTCCAATTTTTAAATTATTCTAGAATTGAATGGTGGAAAAAAAATTGAAAATTGAAATTATAATCATGATAATGGGCTAACAATGCTTCATATAATCGCATCCACAAGGCCAAAAAAGTTGACCTTTTTCTGTTTGTCTATGGATTTTATCCATTCACATAACGATCAAATTATTCACGGATTTTTTTCGCTAATCATTCTATTCAATTCAATTCAAATAGTGGCAATGAATGGTCACGAAAGGAAATTCATGTCATCATCATCAAGATTATGAGTTGTTTTTTTTGTTGGCTTAAAATAATTTAAATTTTTATTTATTTATTGTAATATTAATGGATTTGAAACGTTTTATGATGATTTTTTTATTTTGTTTATATTTTCATTATCTATTAGTTGTAACAACACATTAGTTGATGAATGTTATTTTCTTGGTGAATGAATTCTTGTTTTTGATTTTGATGGTGTTGGTGATTTTGATTTTGATTTTGATTTTGATTTCGATTTTGATTTTGATGATTGACGTTTTGGACTTTTTCGTAAACGATTAATTAGTGATGATGATGATCGATGTATTCTTTCATCAACGATATTCTTAATTCTTATCATTCTTGTTAATTGATGTAAATATCTTCTACCCGATTCGATTGATCGCAAAGTTCGACTATATATTTCTCGAGTATTAAGTGATACAGTTTTCATTGCTAGTAATGCGACTAATATAATTATTCCAATGATAATGATAGCAAACATAATCAATGTATAACGATTCAATATCAATGGTATAATTTTTCCAGGACATGTAAAAAATGTATCATATTTTTCTAATCGTACTGGATATGATTTTTCTGGTGAACTTTCTTGATAAACAATTTCATCAAATGTATAGATGTAATCTTTACCAAATAGATAAAATTTTTCACCAGCAACAAAACCACTAAGTATAGGCCATTTAACTGGAATTTCGCATTTACTTGCATCATTATTTATAAAAATTTCTTTATCATCTGATTGATTTGAATAACAGATGGATCGATATCTATCTTTTTGTTTTATTTTTTTACTTTGTGTTACGGTCGATGCGGAACATTCATAAGTACTAATCTGAAATTCGCCATCATAAAGTCTTATTGCATAGAATTTACATGGTTTTGTTGTGGATATTAAAACCTCTTTAATATCAACACTGGCTTCCCACCCATTTATGATTGTTGAGTTGTCTATGTTGTAATTGATGCCACTTAATGGTGAATGCATTGTAGTTGTAAAACATAGCCAGCTACCATCATTGTCAATCACTATGAATGAATTAAAAATTCGAAATTTCAACTGACGGAATCCATGATTCTCTGATAATTTGGGATATTTTTCCGATAATTTTATAGGATCAGTATTTAAATATAAATTCGATGTTTTCAACTGATTACGATCAACTTCAAATACATAGAAATTTTTAGTTAGAATTATCATATTATTTCGGGTCAATCCAACTGTCAATATGTTCAATTTTTCTTTGTCATCATGACCAAAATGATTAAACTGTTGACATATTTTCTATAATTAAGTAATTAATAAATAAAGATAATTTTATTATAATAATGAATTATCTTCAAGTTTTATTTTCAAAAATAACTTACATCAGATTCAAAATTTGAATCGTTTGTCGATTTTCCATTGATCATAATGATTTTGATTACAATAAAACTAATTCCCAGAAAATAGTGGAAAAGCATTTTTTTTGTTTGTAATCATCACATTCAAACAATTTCAGAATCATTCATTTTTATATTAAAAAAAATTAATTTAATTTAATTTTTTTTGATTTAATAATCTTAAAAATATCCTACCATTAATTTCTATTGTTATTGTTTTAACGAATAGAATTTCGCCTCCTTTTTTTTGATGTTTGTAAATTATTGTTTTTGATGTTGGTAAACAAAAATAAAACCAGAATTGACTCAACTTTTTTCATACCCTAAACAAATATTGTATTGTCTTGTTACAAATCTAATTTATGAGACAATCAGCGAAGAAAACAACAACAAATAACAACAACAACAACCAATAATATAGAGAAAATTAAAACCATCCTAATAATATCTGGATGTTGGATGTAAACGAATTTATAATATTGAAAAAAAACTTTCATCAAATCTAAATGATTTAAAGAGGATTTTCCAATGTTGAATGTTTTTTTTGATGATATCCATTTCTTCCATTACCAAAAGACCACAAATTGAGCTGTTATTTGGTTTATTATTTAGCAGATCAAATATTTAACTATACGTGAAAACGAGAGGAATGAAATATCGATGAGATGTGAAAGAGCTATGGAAAAAAATATATAATGAAATTCTGAACCGAATTTCAATTTTCATCGAACAAATAGCTAAGGGCAAAATAAAAATAAATAAATGAAAAATTTGGTTACTACTATTGTTGGTTAATTAACTCTTTGTTTTGATTGCTGCAAACACAGAAATAGAAAGAATTAGACTCGATTTAAAACACCATATTAGGAGGGGAATGATGGGAAAAAAATTTAAAAAAATTTCATTCTAAACAAACATTAAAACATTAAATTTCAAATAAAGTTTTTTTTGTCGTCAACTAGTATTCTTTGTTTTTTTTATTTATAAATCATTAGATTCATAATAATTGGAATGTATATTTTTTTCGGTGAAACCATTATCATAAATTCAATGCTTGATGCTTAGAGATTTTTTAAGAAAAAGTTTTCGAGGATAAATTATGTTCATTTGTCCGATTTCAACAAAAAAAAAATTATTTTTCATTTTAATCCGTCGTCTACTATTCACCAATCAATTTATAATTATCAATCTATTCTTTCTTTTCAACATACAGCGGTAAATTTCAAACTTAAATTAGGATTCATAATCATACAGGTAATATAAAATGAAACTTGTGATTTAATAATTTTTCTCAACAAAAACAAAATCGATAAAAATTTTCCCAATTTATCACGCCATCTATTGTTGAAGATTTTATATTAATTTGGATTTTATTGATCGTTTTTAATATTTGTGGAAAATATGAGTTAATATCATGGCCGTTTATTTAAATGGAAAAAAATTGAAAATGAAAATTTTTATTATAATATTTGTGTATATTTTCATCATCTACATAGATATGTACACATCATAGATTGACAATTGTTTTTTTTCTTGATGAAGGAATTCTTGTTTTCGTTTTTAATGTATTTGTTTTTTGACTTTTTCGACTTTTCATTTGTGAACTATTATTTGATGATGATGATGATGATACAGCATTACTGCCGGTTATAACTTTTGTTACCATCTGAAAGAATGATGTTCTTCCTGAATCCGTTGATCGTATGGTTCGATTATCGAATCGACGTTTATTTTTTCCTATTCTCAATAATAAAATCAATATAATTAATCCAATTATGATGATACCAATCATAACCATTGTATAAAAATTAAATAATGGTGGTGAATTTTTTCCAGGGCATGTAAAAAATGAATCATAACTTTGTGACTTTATAGGATATGATTTTTCTGGTGAACTTTGATGATAAACATTCTCATCAAATACATAGATGTAATCCTTACCGAATAAAAAAAATTTTTCACTGGCAACAAAACCTTTAAGTATTGGCCAATGAACTGGAATTTTGCAATCACTTTCTTCAGGATTGAAAAAAATTTTATCATTCGAGTGATCTGAAAAACAAACAGATCGATAACTTTTCCTTTGGTTAATTGATCTACTTTGTGCTATGGTCGAGTCAGAACATTCAAAAGTACCAATCTGAAATTGGCCATTATAACGCCTTATTGAATAGAAATTACATGGTTTTTTTGTGGATATTAAAACCTCTTTATGAACAAAATTAAATTTCCATCCTTCTGAAATTGTTGATTTTTCCAAATTGTAATTGATGCCATTCTCTCGTGCGCTAAATGAAGTTATAAAACATAACCAGCTACCATCACTGTCCACATCTATGAATGCATGAGAAATTTCATATCTTATTCGATTGAAATGATCATTCTTTGATAATTCAGGATATTTTTTCGATAATGATAAAGGTTTAGCATTTAAATATAAATTATTTATCGATGTTTGCATATGATCACGATCAACTTCAAATACATAGAAATTTTCAGTTATAAGTAGCATATGATCTTGAGTTAATCCAACTGCCAATATATTCAATTTGTTTTTCTTTTTATGACCAAAATTATGAAGATCATGACATATTTTCTATGATTAAATAACGATAATTTTATCATAATAATGAATATTTCAATTATTATTCAAGATAGAATTAAATGAACTTACAAGTATTTCATTATCTGAATCTTCTCCATCGATTATAATGATTTTTATTACAATAAAACCGATTCCCAGCAAATAACTGAAAAACATTTTTTAATGTAATCATCAAATTCAAATGATTTCAGGCTCATTCAGTTTTATATTTTTAAAAAATTAATTTAATTTTTTTGATTTAATAATCTCAAAAATAACATACCATCATTATATACTAATTTCTATTGTTATTTTTTTTTAATTAATAAAACTATTAGAATCCATTTATTTTTGTACATGTTATGTTTTTAAATTTTTAAACTGATTAAATGACAATAAAAATTATGTTCAACAATCATAAACTTTACTTTAATTATGTAAATAAATTTATTATTTTTTTTTAATAATTTCTATGTTACATCATCAAAAAGAGAAAAAAAATTAAAGAAAACCATCCATTGATTCGATCGTATCAATCATAATGTTCAATATGGAGCCATATTTTTTACGATTTGTTTGTTTAATTTCCAAAGGTTTTAGATGATCGCATCGATTTGTAAATTCATTGTAATCACTGCATGCAACCGATATGATATCACCCGAAAGGCCTCGTAAAAAATCTAATGCAATTTGTTTATCATTACGTATACACGGTATTGTATCCATCCATTCATCACCACAACGAACCAATTCAGCATAGTAGCTTAGTAGACAATAATAATATCAATATTGAAATTTAAATTCTTTCTCGCCTATTTTTATTTATTACTTACCAACATACATACTTAATTTTTTCTTTACTGTTTAGACCCGATGGTATTAATGCTGATGTACTGTTCATCATACTCATTATACAATGATCATCTTTGATTCTAGTGTTCAAACAGCTAGCTAATTTCAGTAAATTTTTTAGCTTTTTGTTTGATGGTTTTTTATTACAAAAATATCGTAGGTTACGTTTCAATGTATATAAAACAATGTTGGCCAATTTTTGTATATCTTGTTCATAACATTCATGAAGATATTCATCAATGAAGCTTACCATAACACGAGTTTCACTGATAAGATGCCAAAAAATGAAACAAAGAAATATGAGATTAAAATAAATTTTATATTATATTACATATAAAACACAATTCTTACTTGCAATAAGGTTTTAATTGTGGTCCATTTTCTGGAAATGGTCTTCCTTTACCACCGAAACCAATCATACGTTCAATATAACGATCTACTTTAGCCATACGTTGTGGTTCTAAACATTGTGGTTTATCCAAAATCCATCGAAATGGTTTAGTTGAATTGCTGTTCTTGCTATGTTTTCGGTGTACACCAGCTGATTCGATTTCATTAATTGTGAAAAAGTTCAATAGTGGGATTGTTATAATAGAACAAATGATAATATTAATTGATGAGTTCATTATTGGATCAACAAGTTAACCCAGAATCAATCTTTAGCAACCATATACATATAAACTTGTCGAAGTTTTTTTCTGATTTGAATCGTAAATTAAAAACGATATGAATCTTTTTTTTTTAAATTCACACATAATCTGGCGATTTTCTTGAGTAAAAGAAGAAAATCGATTCGCGATAATTTTAACCTCTTTTTATATACAATGACTAATGCAAAGATCAAAAATGTATAGATAGCGACTCTCTCTCTCCCCCTTTCTTTAAAAAAAGGAATATCATGCCAATGTCCAATTCATCTTCTATGCTATCTGTCAATCTTATCCATACATATGTATAAATGGATGTCATAAACATGTGACAAACGTATGTATTTGTTAGCGAATCAATTTAAATAAAAATGAAGGCAACTGGATATTTTAAATTATCAATGCCCAATATCATTATTATTATTATTAATATAATCATAATCTTACGATTAACCTTCAACTATTAATGTTGAATTGATAATCTTTTTGAAAATTATTTTTAAAAACACTTTCTGAATCCGTTCACTAATACAGACGCGTGACCATCATTCGTTTTTAACAACAACGATGTATGATTCTCCTTTTTCGTTATCAGATCAATGTTTCATCAACATTCCTTTTTATTTTTAATTTATTCCATTTTTTTGTTGTTCTTCAACCCATCGATATAAATAGAATACATTCTTCATATGATAATTACAATAGCAAAATTATCAAAACGATTCAATTACTGGCTGCCACAAAATGAACGATTGGATTTTATTTGTTTGTTTTTTAAAACAATGTTTTTCATCAATCTTTGTCAAATTCAATCTATTCATTTAAAAACTTATTTACGGTTCTGTCGATGGATTAGGGCGTTATTTTTCCATTCCAATTATCCTGTTGACAATGTTGACAAAATATTTTTTTTCAAAATCAATTCATGAATTTTTTGTTTTGTTTTGATTTTATTTTTGTTTTTCATTTTATTCATGAAAAGGATTTGATATTTATCGATCGATGGCCATATCATTGACTAATTAATTGAAATTTTGCCATATATTTGTTTAGCTATGTTATCTGTTCAATAGTGAAACAAACTATTATTGTCAGACAATATATTAATTTCATAATTTTGATAGTTGGCTATCCATATACATGATTTGATCGATCGATCGATCAAGGCTTACTTTTAGATTAATAAAAAAAAACATTTTTTATTACGATCAATTGTTGAATTTTTATCTGCTTTTGCGTGAAAGATTCGATATTTAAACGAGTAATCGATAAGATCTGGTCAGCTTACTATGTGAATGATGAATCAATGGATTTTTTTTTTTGTAAAATGATTGATTTTATTAATTTTAATAATAAATATTATTGAAAAAAAATATCAATCAAATCTTTTTTCATTATTGTCAAATTTTAATATTATTTGATAAAAAGTTCCATTCGGTTTGTTTTTTATGATTAGATTTTTTTTTGATCATGTTTTGTTCGTCGTTTGGTCATACTATTAGAAGGTGAAATATTTTCTGTTCGTGTCCAAATTTTTACTCGTTTTAATGTATCATTGTTTATCATTCCACCAGTCAATGGATCGATTGGACAATTTGTAAATGATGGCTTTGTCTTGCAAGAAACGGATAGATTGGATTTACTTTGTAATGATTTGATTGTATTGGTTTTTGTTTTAGTTTTTGTTTTTGCTCGATTTGTTCTTATCTTTGATGAAGATCTAGATATTGATATTGATGGTACTACCATACTCAATTCTTGCAAGAATTCATCTACTTGTTCAGCTTGTGTAATCACTTTGGGATCAAGTTGTACCGACATAGTTGTTTTATGTATAGGCATCGATTTTGCTTTCTGCATGATGTAAGGTTTTAGCTGTGTATCTGAATATGATACTGATATATCTTCACAAGATTTTTGAATCTTATCATCCGTAATAATTTGGAATTCTTGTCCTTCTATTTGATTTTTTGTAGGTACAAAAATGAAATCATCCACTTGTTTACGCGATACGAATCGGCGCCAACCTGGTTTTTTAACCAATGGTGATGATTCATTCTTTTTCTGTGTCGAAGATGCAGATGATGATGATGACGACAAACAACACGTATAAGAAGAAGATGAACAAAAACGTTCTTTATCTTTTGTCATCGATGATTTGTTATTTTCGTAAACACTTGGAGGCGAAAACTCCCAGCGTTCTGTTTTGACCCTAGTCACTACCGAAGATGGCGGTGCTGATGATAATGAATTCATGATCGATTCCTCACTAGACGATGATGATGAAAGGTTTGATCCAAGATTTGTAGATTTATGGTCCATAATTAAAAATGACCAAAAATTCAATTATGCTTGAACTTTTTTTATCGTTCAGCATTTATATAAATTCTAATGCTAACAACAATCAGTAAAAATGTTAATATAAATAAATTTCTATTTTAATTACTATGGTCGCCTATTAATCAAGATTAAAATATTGAATGCGATGATTGGTTTTCTATACTTCGCAGTAGTTTTAGAATCGTTTATAGGCAAATCAAAATCGAGTGAACTGGAACGTTTATCAAAGCAACCACCATATAAATCTTATTGTGAATTTCTGAAAAATTGTCGGGATCTTGAACTTTCGGGTTCCACAATGTCTCAAGAAGAATTACGTAAAGAATACTACAAATGTCAATCAGAACATATAGATCGATGGAAAATAACTACTAGCAATTATGTAAGTCATCGATAATATCAACCATGTGGTTGATAAATGTTTATAATTCTTAATTAATTAATTCACTATATTAATTTCTAATTTCCCATAGTATACGGAAACCCGAGAATTCTGTTGCTTTGTCAAAACATTGTTGTCTTGCGAAAAACCAATATTAACATTGTGTGATAAAACTTATTCACAATTGAACGAGGACGATACAGAACGTTTTTTTGGAAAATCTTGTAATCAATTTATCTGTGATGAAACCGATACGAATCAGACCCCCTTTTTCGAAATCGGGACAATTCAATGGCCGTTATTGTGCGAAATCCAATTTTGAACTACAAAGAATATATAAAAATGTTACAAGGAGCAGATTCATTGCCACTAATAGTTAAAATAGAATACCAAAACTAGATAAATCAAGTATTCTCATCGTTATTAATAATCAATTTTTTCGTCATTTAGGATTTTTTAAAATTTATATCAAAATAAAAATAACTTAATACAATAATATGACTATATGATTATTTCTCAATGATTATATTAATGATTATACCTTCACAAGATTTATTTTCTTAAACCCTTGAAGGCGAAAATTCCCAACCTTCTGTTTCAACACTGGCCACTACCAAAGATAGATGGGATGATGATGATGATGAATCAATGATTGATTCCTCACTAGACGATGATGAAAATTTGATCCAAGATTTTTAGATTTATGGTCAATAATGAAAAATGACTGAAAATTTAATTGTGTTCGAACTTTTTTCATCGTTCAACAATCATATAAATTCTAATGCTAACAACAATCAGTAAAAATGTTCATAAAAATACATTTCATTTAGAATTACTATGGTCGCCTCTCAATAATAATTATAATAATGATTGACTTTCTATACTACGTAGTAGTTTTAGAATTGTTCATAGGCAAATCAAAATCGAGTAATCTGGAACGTTTATCAAATCCGCCACCATACAAATCTTATTATGAATTTCCAAAAAATTGTCCTGATCTTAAATTTTCGGGTTCAACAATGTCTCAAGAAGAATTACGCAAAGAATACTACAAATGTCAATCAAAACATATAGATCGATGGAAAATAACTACTAGCAATTATGTAAGTCATCGATAATATCAACCATGTGGTTGATAAATGTTTATAATTCTCAATTAATTAATCCACNATATTAATTTCTAATCTCTCATAGTATACGGAAACCAGAGAATTCTGTTGCTTTGTCAAAACAGTGTTGACTTGCGAAAAACCAATATTAACATTGTGTGATAAAACTTATTCACAATTGAACGAGGACGATACAGAACGTTTATTTGGAAAATCTTGTAATCAATTTACCTGTGATGAAACCGATACGAATTTAATGTCTAAGATTTTAAAATGGGTCTTATTTATTGGGGGTGGAATTTTATCTGCACTAATGTTATATTGTGCTGGGCGTTACGGTTATGAAAAAGGGAAAGAATGGTGGGAACTTCGAAACATGGATCCAAAAGTTCGTGAAAAATTAGAAGCCACTAGGCCATTTGTGATCAAACAAACTGAACTCGAATTGTCTCAACTTAAAGCTGCTGCTGATCTTGCTGCACTCGATAATAAATTAAAAACTGAAAATAGCAAATGGAAATTCTATAGAAAATACAAATTTGGTTTTGAAAAGATTTTACGAAATCGAAAATTGAAACAGCAGGCAAAAAAAAATATCGAGCTTGAAATGAAGACGAATCCGGAAGTGTTTTGGAAACCATTAATAAACGAAAATGCAAAAATTGGTACTGAAAAATCGTCGCAATTGTTAGAATCGCTCAAGTCAACAGCGTCTGCTTTATGGGACAAAGCGCCCACTCTTGAGAGTGCAACTTCGATGGGACGAGACGCATTGATATCGGCACAACCATTGGCAGATAAGTTTATGTCTGGTTCGAAAAGCGCTTTGGAAAAGGTGACACCTTTAGCACAACAAGCTTTAAAAAATTCAAGTTCATATGCTAAGGATGCTGTAATAGAGTATTCAAAGAAAACTCTCCAAACTTCGGCTGAAGCTTTGGTAATCGCATCACCATATGCATTGAGTGGCGCTAAAAAAGCAGGTAGTTTTGGATGGTGGGCGCTCAAAGAAGGGACTAAGAAAATTGCGAACGCTATCATTGAGGGTATAAAATCGCGAAATGAAAATCAGCTCCTTGCTATAGAATATAATGTCGATTCTACACCTACTGCTCCAAAAAATCAGGTCGATTCAACAAGCTTTGTTTCACCAAATCAAATTTTGAACAGCAAAACGGCAACAAATATAATATCTCAAGGACTAAATGTATTGCCCAAGATATTAAATGAAAGCTCAAGTGTACGCATTGTTATGGATGATGCGACACTTGAACGTTTAAATGAACAACTTAGTATGAAGTGAATGGTACCAAATATGAGATAATAGTTTTAGCAAAGAAATCAGTTGTTTCGTCACTTAAGAATATTTTTAAAATTTTTATGAAAAAAAATACTACAATAATAATATCTTCATCAAATTTTTGAGTCGTTTCGTTTTTTGTATACAGGTATACAAAAATGAAATCATCCACTTGTTTACGTGATACGAATCGGCGCCAACCTGGTTTTTTAACCAATGGTGATGATTCATTCTTTTTC